TCAGATCGCGTGAGTTTTTTGTGTCAACTTCTATAATGTTAATTTGACCAATCGTGGGTGAGTTTATTTTCCCCGTGTGCCCCACGAGTTTTTAATTTTCTCGGTCAAGGTATGACCGGTGTGCTGTGTCGGGAGGAACCACGTGTGTGAGTTGAGTTTTTAAGGAGTGAACAGTGGCGAGTGCTGTGGATATGGTGTATGATTTTTGTCTTGTGAAAAGGCAGTGAGTTTTTCTACGGATGGAAGAGGACTTGTGTAACTTTAACTGTTTTGTGTAGTGGTATATAGGCACACATAGCCAATAAATAAGAAAATCTGAATCCCTGAATTGTTTGTTGATACTTGGAGCAAGAGTCAGCTCTGTAGGAGCTGGAAATAAAGGGGTTCTAGACCCTTGTAAAATTGTTCTGTGGCTAGTACAGAGGGGACCGACCCCTAGACAACGTACGTCACGTCACACCTGGCTCTGCCTTCACTCCCAAAAACACCCTGGCTCTGCCTCCACTTCCAAAAACACCCTGGCTCTGCCTCCACTTCCAAAAACACCCTGGCTCTGCCTCCACTTCCAAAAACACCCTGGCTCTGCCTCCACTTCCAAAAACACCCTGGCTCTGCCTCCACTTCCAAAAACATCCTGGCTCTGCCTCCACTCCCAAAAACACACTGGCTCTGCCTCCACTTCCAAAAACACCCTGGCCCTGCCTTCACTCCCAAAAACACCCTGGCTCTGTCTTCACCCCAAAGCATCCCATCATTTTTTTAGCTTTCCTAGATCAGCAACATGTTGCTTACTAATACAAACAATATTTATTACAGTGAATGAAAAGAAAGAGTCCAATTTGGCTTTAGCCAACTTCACATTCAAGCGCAAAGAGCTCTCCAGACCACCAGCAGAAACAGTGCGCAGAGCTGGTAAGAGTCGGAAGCCTGGTTGTAACCCCACTGCTTTCAAAGAGTTAAAAGAATATTTTCCATCTGCACCTGACTTAAAAGAGGAAACAAAAAATGAGGATATTGAATCTGCTGCTAAAAGGAGGTATGATTCTTTGCTGCTGATAAGGGGCCAGCCGTAAATGACGTCACACTATTTTTGTCAATTATCTTTCCACCTAGCTATTTCCAAATATAGAATTATAATGAAATCCAAGATTGCCTTGTCTTGGCAAGCATGTCTTCTGCAATAAATATTCCTTGACAAGTGTGTACATCGTGTATGGCAGGTTTGTTATAGTTAGTAATTGTAGATTCTCTGGCACGTGCTTTGCTGGCATTAAGAATCTATCGCAAGCTTTAATTATGATTGTAGGGTACTGAAAATGTACATTTGGAAATGGCTTCGGTGAGGCACTGAGGTAATTAAAACTCTTAATGTCCTCCCCAAAGCATCCCCATAAGCCCTAAAAAATCCCCTAACTATAGGGCTTGAAGTGGCATAATGGGGGACATCTCACTTTAACCCTATCATCCGCCGTTATACCCCTCTCTGTGGTATCGCGGCCGATAAAGTCGGCCATTAGCAAAATCGTCATTAACAATGCAAACTTATTTAAAGTAGATTGTTTAAGGGGAAATCACTCTATATAAATGAGTTTTCTTCCTATTTTCTTTACTATCATTGTGTTTACATGCTTTAGTCAGGGACTTTTTTGCGATTAATTGAGTGTGCAATTTTTTCACCGCCATAATATCTGATGCTAGAGAGGGCGCTCCTTTAGGATTTCAAAATTAACACAGAATTTCTTTATTGGAATTATTTAAAATATATTAAAATGAAGCAAAGATATCAGAGATATTCCATGTGCTAGTAATGACAGCGTAAGCTCTCTCTGTGATGTCGATAAGACTAAGAGTCAGATATTGACAATTTTATCCTTAAGCTTAGTCGTATTGTTACTGACAAATTTGTTTGGGAAAAGGTGGAAATCGAACAGAAAAAGACGCGGATTTGATCCCAAAGATCTACCCCTAAGATATTCATGTTTGTATATGAGTATCAATTAATTAAAAAATGGATTTAATAACTTCAATTGAAAAGGAATTTTTGAACTCATACTTTGCCTTCTGCCCTTGTATTTTGTATGACAGAAATTTGAAGGTAGTGAATGAAAAAAATCATCAATATCACAATTTTCCATATAAGTAACTATAAATAGTCATTTTCTAAAAGAATATTGCTTCTAGTCTATCAAAAACGTGATTTTAGGATAATTTGAACAATTTATGGAGTATTTAGGGTGGGTTGAATTCAGAAGTTGAGTAGTAAAATTTTAATCACTCTGTAAAGGTCAAGGTCAATATCAACAGACACAATATAAAAACAAATTCTTTTCATACCATAAGATAACTTGTCCAATGTACTTTCAGAAAATGTATATTTGTAAGGGTCTCTGAATTCATTTAGTCTGGGATTGTTGTCATTTTTGACAAGCATATGAAATAGCTAAAAATGGCTTGACTCTATAGAAATTTGTTCTTGACAGTTATAGGGTTAAGGACATCCGGTCGGCCGGTGAAGCTGCTTTCACGACAGCAGAGGGCTTTCTCAGGAGTCAGTTTTTAAAAATGTTTTTTCCCCCCAATACAGAGACGTTAGAAAAAAAAATGTATGATGATCACGCAGCCACTGCATGCGCGCAGACTTTTGGAGTGCTTCGTGTAAATAAAAATGATTCTCCAGATATAAAAACTTAAGTTCCGGACGGAAACAAAACAAATCATTTCCAGACATATTAAAATAATTTCCAGACAGACACAATAAAGTTCCAGACCGCCCTCTAATGGGGATTTTTATAGTGGGTTTCTAACCTCGCAAATAGTTCACAAATTAGCTGTGATGAAACTAAACTGTGTTATCGAAGAGATTTGCTTTAAGTTCTTTGAGAAAAACGTTCACTTCAAAATGTGTAGAAATGATGTTTCCTTTTGATACTCTGAGGTCATATTGGGCCTTTTTTATATCAGAGAAATTTTAAAACTATCTTTTGGGTAAAAATCATTGATTTCTATGCATTTTTTAATGTTCATTTGAATGAAAAATTCTTGTTAGCAAAAGGCATAAATTTTTTGACAAACTGCACATTAGTAAATTTGAAAGCCTTTAAATCTTTTGATATACTGAGCATGAACGGCAGTGACACCAGGGGGGTGGGGTGGGGTGGTGGGAATCACACATGGTGACACTGTCCAAGTGGTGTGATGCCTCACAGGGAACATAGTAATTTGACAGAGCTCGATCAAGTCGGTTTCATAACATATTTAAGTTAGATACAAGGCAGGGTGCCTCCAGAGCAGAGTGCCATAAAGAAAATTTGCCACCAGAACAGGTTAGTACCAGAGTTTGGTGGCACCATAGCCGGTTGCCATCAGTGTAGGCAGTCACTGTAGCATAGCCGGTTGCCATCAGTGTAGGCTGTCACTGTAGCATAGCCGGTTGCCATCCGTGTAGGCTGTCACTGTAGCATAGCCGGTTGCCATCAGTGTAGGCTGTCACTGTAGCATAGCCGGTTGCCATCAGTGTAGGCAGTCACTGTAGTGTCTGTAGCATAGCCGGTTGCCATCAGTGTAGGCAGTCACTGTAGCATAGCAAGTTGCCATCAGTGTAGGCAGTCACTGTAGCAGGCAAAGTCATTTGGGGAAGTCTGTATGAGGTGACACCAGATCTAGTGACACCCCTGAGCATAAGATAAAATAAGGGCCCTGGGCTAAAATCACAAGGCATGAGCTTATGCTAGCTACAGAGTCACTAACCATATGTTGGCTAGGTTTCTCTTTTACATGGGTCAGATGCAGTGTTGATAGAAAAAAGATCTTGTAAAAAGGGGCATTAAATATAAATACATTTCTTTCTTTTGGGCCCTCATTACACTTTTTTTATTAAGATTTTTATTTTTTACCCCATTTTGGGCAATATATCCCAGTACCCTGACCCCTGCTTTAAGGGGAAAATAATAAGTATATATCGAAAGCCCAGGCCCTTGTTTCTGTTCCGTTAACAGTTGTCAAAATCAATTTCAACTATAGCCTAGAATCGTATAAAAAAATCATGAGTTTAGATCACGACTGCGTGGAAAAGTTGATACTGCATTTTAAAAACCAGATTTCTAAGACTGATAACCAGTTAGCTGAAAAGAGTAATGACACCGGTATTAACATCCACACAAACAAGCTTTTAGCCTTAGATCAGTAGTTTCAAACTTAATATCCCATGGACACTTGCTACAAGGTCATAGGTGTGGCATTATTTTGTATTAATTATATCTCTATAGGAACAACATAAATACCGATATAAAGGAAACTAACCCTGAGCCGGACTCTGATGTTAAACCATTTCCAAAGCTGGACTCTGATGTTAAACCATTTCCAAAGCTGGACTCTGATGTTAAACCATTTCCAAAGCTGGACTCTGATGTTAAGCCATTGACAAATTTCACGGCTACATCTTCATTAACAGACCTTGCATCTGCCCCCAGTCAGGTGAGTTGCTTGTCTATCCAATACTACAGAACCAGACGAACCAAGTAGAAATCCAGTCTGATCCAATGCACATCCTACACAAACAACAAAGAACTATCACTAGTCCTGGATTAACCATTAAGCACTATAAATTATAAGCATGTGTTAATTATAGCACTGATAGAAAGGGGGCTCTTCAAAAATAGACTTTGAAAAAAATATTTCAAAAATAAATATTTTTAGCTCCGGTACCCATGAAATTGGAGATATATTTACATTAACCTTTTCATTACCACTGTCACGAGCACCCACTTTCATTTACCAAGGATGTCACCATTGTCGTCATAACAAAGAGGCGAAGCACTTTTCTGAATTACCGTGGACATCACATTGATGTCATATATTAATGCTATATATTTCTTGTATTCTTTAATTTATGGAGAAGTTAATAAGCAAATCATCAGATAGAGAATGAACAAATACAGGAAGTTTCTTCTTTGAGTTTTTAACTGCGTGCATTTACATTAACAATCATGACAGTGATTTCTTGTTTATTTACATCCAATGCTATCCAGTGCTTGGTATTTTGAAGTTGGTGAAAAGCCAAAATTTGCATTGTCAGCACAGCAAAAATCAATGCCAAATACCAGCCGTAATTAAAGGGCTAAATGGTGTACCGCTTAGTCTCCTGCTGGTATCATCTGAAAGTGAAATTTGTTTTAAGGATAGTGAAAAGCTTATTAATGCTTAACCATATTGATATAAATTTCAACTAGTATTTCATCTGTTACACCCCGATTAAGTCTAGAATTATGCAAAGTTAATTTGAGGTATGTACCAAAATGAATCCCTACAGTTTTTAAGGACACATTTTTTTAGATAAACATACAAAGCTAAAAACATGTTTGGGTCAATGCAAAGAGATGGCACTGTGACATCATTTACATGTTTTTGTTAAGTTTCTGTTTTGCATTCACTCCCCTAATTTTTTGTTAATAGTTACATTTTCCTTAATATGATGATGGCATGTTTTAATTAAATTTTTATTGGTTGATTAATTATAATTTTAAAATTTCATTGGTTTGCTAATTATAATATTTTGTTTGTTCTGCCATCTATGACACGAATTGGATACACTGTATTTTATTTATTTTATGGATATTCTTTTTGGTGGAACCTGAAATAAAGTGTGTAAAAGTGTATTTTATGAAACTGTAAGTTGGGTTTTCATTATTTCTTTATTTGATATTTATTTTTGGCCATATTTTATTGTTTTTGTTCATTTTCATAGTTTTTTTGCCACAGTGTGTAATTGCCACATGTTATTTACTTGCCTGTTTAGGGATAGATTTAGGGATTTCAGGTTAGTTTCAATACCCAGGTTAGGTTTAGGGTCAATACCCAGGTTAGGTTAAGGCAGTGGTTCTCAACCTTTCTAGTGCCGCGACTCCTTAATACAGTTTCTCGTGTCATGGCGACCCCCCCAGCCACACAATTATTTTCGTTGCTACTTCATAGCTGTAAGGATATATGTTTTCAGATGGTCTTAGGCGACCCCTGGAAAAGGGTCCCGCGACCCCCAAAGGGGTCGCGACCCACAGGTTGAGAACTGCTGGGTTAAGGGATAGATTTAGGGTTCAGGTTAAGTTTAGGGATACATTTAGGACATTTTTTCATTAATTTTAAACGTTTTATTCCTAATTTGAGCAAACCTGAGTTATTTTATTTTTCCCCTGCTGCCATCTTGGTTGCCGGAACCTGTGAACCCGTCAAATTTTTCTCTTGTACTCTTCTGGAAGGCCATTCTACTACCAGACGGTTGTGGCGACTAAAAATAACCGTGTTGAAGTGAAAATCAAGCTATACTCTGTACTAATGCAGACAAGTGTTATAAATAGCTCTTAATGGAAGTTTAAAAATAAGTCAAGCCTCCATTCTCACAATAATTCTTTGCCAACTGACACTATTGACTATTTTTAAAACCAATAAATTTTTTAAAACACATTTTTTAACAAATCATTATTTTAAATTGAGACTCTCCTTTTAAAACATAAGTTAACTTATAGTAGTCCCTTGGTTTTCAAATTCTAGACAGCTCATTTTCAAATTGCTCCCCTGTGGGGCGTGGGCCCCAGGCTGGGAAACACTGATCTATAAAGACCGTTTCTTAATTCTACCATGGTATATATAGTTACGGTAATATAATTACCCATTTGCTGAATTCCGTCATGTGTTACCAGGTAGTCAAGACCAATTTTGTAAATACTTAGAAGCATGATCAAAATTTTCCATGAGTTAACTCACTCATAGCATCAGGGCAGGAGTTTTTCCTGCGCAGTTCATGGCACTGTTCAACACTCTCAGTGAGTTGACAATGCCTACGGGGAAGAACTCATACTAAACAAGAAAAAAATTAAAATGTGGAGGCGGTGACGTTCAAGCCTGGTGTTCCAAAAATATGACTGTAATGGAAGTTAAATGTGCAGCTAGATTTCATCACAATTATTATATAATATAAGGTATATACCGGTATATGTAAATACACACATGCACCGATATCAATAATATGATTTTTTTTTCTCAGACGATTTCTTCAAACTCAGTCCCATCAAAACTAAGAGAATTTCTCCATCTATTTTGCCAAGACTACGTGCAGTTTCAGAGTGATGTCGAGGTCACAGGATACATTTCTTTGACTATTGACAAAAGAGAAATGGTGCAGTATAGTCTTCATGAGAATGTGTCCAGACTTCCAGAGAAGATAAACAACAGTCTCCAAAACATTGTCAAAACAGAGTTCAAATCTGAGCAATTATAAAGATAATAGTGGGATCAATTTAAACTGTGAAATGAAAGACATTTTAAGATTAGATTTCTAAAGTGGACATACTGTTACTGTGCTGAGCTCCAAAAATCTGAAGGAACTAATTTTTAAAAAACAGAAACAATTACTCTTTTTTTTCTTCTTTATGCCTTTTTACCCCGTCTGGGGCATAGGCCATCCACAAGAATTTATCCACTCATCACGGTCCTGTGCTTTCCTTTCCAATTGCTTCCAGGTGTATCCCATATTTTGTGTGTCTGCTCACGACTCCAAATATTTTTAGGCCTTCCTCTCTTTCTTTGTATTTTCTTTCAATTATACTTTGTACTTATTTATGAATGTATTAAAACAGATGCCCCAATCTTTTTACCAGCTATGTTGCCCCTACTCTTCTACCAGGCATATGTTCCCCCCCCCCCCCCCCCCCCCCCCCCCCCTTGTTTCCCCCTACCCTCATACAAGAATATATTCCCCCCCCCCCCCCTCTTCTAACAGCCTTGTTGCCAAACTATTCAATTGCTATGTTGCTGGTACATGCATTTCTAATTCCTAGTTAATAAGCCCGGAAAGTGATAATAATAAACATCTCCTTGAAAACTTAACATTTGTTGCATACTGGTGCATGAAGTTCCTGATCACTGATAATGATGCCTGGACAAAAGTGTTTTATACCTTGTTTTACTGAGGTCTTATACCCAATGAAAGTATATTAGTACTTTTAGTTACACCATATAACACTATTTACATATGGCGGCCTGAGGTCCCAGTTTCTCAGTTGTTCCAATTTCTTTTTATTATTTTACGGATCAATTTTTGGTAAATAGTTACTGACAAGCTGTTTTTTCCTTTTATGAACATTGAAAAAGTGAAATGTTCAATCTCAGACAGTATCAATTAAATTTCTCACAAAACATTTCTTTTAATTTATTGTTCACCAATATTTCACCAGCGATTCCTAATTAACACAATGTAAAGTTTTGCTACGTCCTCTATATAATGTACATTAATGAAGTTGTTCTTTGCCCTTAAGGAAAGCATGTCTTTCAGTCAATTTTCATGAGCTGTTTTTGGGTGGGTTGGGGGTTCCATTTTGATCATTAATATTTTGACTTATGCAAAAAATGAACACAATCTGCTGTGTTGTATTATTTTGTTCATCTTCATATGGGGAATGTCTCTTTCAGAATGTAAGGAGAGTGGGTCAGATTCATTTCATGTTCAATTGTGAACTTTTCAGAAATAAATGAAATAAACTAAAACCTTATTTATTGACAGGGTATCTAGAAATTTAAAACCCTTCTACCTATATTATTTCATTACATAACCCCTACTTTTGTCAACTATAGATGATCCTGAATTACCAGTAGCAAGTTAAATTTAACAAAATTTATGGAAGTTATTGAAAGCCAGAACAATCATTGAATATAAAAATTAACACAGGCCCAATAAATTACAGTGGTAGTTTAATCTAAAAATATCAATTTTTGCAACAAAATTCAATACTGGAGCACTGTCAAAAGGCACTCTCTTAAGTTGATAAATTATATAACTTAAACATAAAAACACCCTTATAAGATTTGGGAAACAATTTTGTTTAGATAATTGTTACAGAAGTCTCCATAGTAAACATAAAGATACAAGAACGTGATAAAACAATATTTTCAGAAATCATGTTACAATCTTACACACTTGCATTAAATTATTTAAATTATTATTATGTGAATGTGGTATATTTGCGTACTCTAGTTTCAGAAATCATGTTACAATCTTACACACTTGCATTAAATTATTTAAATTATTATTATGTGAATGTGGTATATTTGCGTACTCTAGAATGTGGATAGTGGATAATAGTAAATTTAGAATACTTCAAAAGATCCTTTGTTTTTAACAAAATGCTTCAAGTTAATATGATTTAATTTTTAATCCATATTTCTTTTTACTTAATGTATTTTAAGTTTTTAAAAATTGAACATTAAAAGACTCATTATCCAAATTCCAGTGACTCATTGTCCAAGTTCCAACTTTTTAATGTCCTGTAGGAGTGAATCCAAAGACTTTATCTTCTCAATCTGTGCGAGAGGAAAATTTATTATTGATCATTGTGATGAAATGAAAGAACAGTGCTGTAAGGGGACATTTTTTAATTCTATTTTCATCATACCCAAATTACATTACTGGTTAGGGAGCCACCCATATATTACATAGGCTAAAATGTCACCTTGTACATTTTTGGACCCCTCCTTTGTGTATGTACAAATACAAACACACCCCCCCCCCCCAACACAGTCACAGAACATTGAAGTTATCTTTTTATAGCCTTTGAAAATAGTTAGAAATCTTGGATTTCAAATCTAGGTGTCAGTTGGCTAGAAATATAAAGGCTATTTGTCAAAATTTCAGGATAATCATTGCAGAATTTCTGCATTGAAATAAAACAAAACTATGTACACTTTATGCCCAGGCCTGTTTCCTTCCCACCAAAACCTCCTAATTCAATCAGCCCCCCTCAGAGCCAAAGTAATGTCGGGATGGCCCTCAAGTCATATTTATAAACCTCAACAAGGAAAACAATCTTAAACAATGATATCTATCACTAATTTCACTGATAAAAAACTCTAGCAGTGAACCTATTAATGGAAAACATAATAATAATACCATTAGTATGCTTCAAGAAACACAAAGATTCAGTACGGTACATTAAATTCACTCAAGACACATCTCTTCAAATTCGACTATTCCGACTCATTCTCACCCCCTCTGACTATAAACAATGCTCGATGCTGCTGGGTGCCATCCATGGCTAGACAGGGGTCAATAGTACTTGGGTGGGCGAGGTTAATATTTTAACACGGTTGTTTTTAAATGAATAATTTTATGTAACAGTTTTTAATGTCATGTTTCTTTTTTTCTTGTTTCCGTTTTGCAATTTGTATGATTATATTAAGTAAATTTACCTGCAGCAACTATTATAATTATAACTAGAAGTTAGAGGATAAAACTTTCCTACCTGATTTTTTTCCAATTCTTTACCGGAAGCCTGTTGTGATTTTAGTTTTTCAATTTGCTGGACTTTCTAAGGAATGTAGAACAATTTTGTTATAACAAGTGCAGAGAGTTTTAAATGTCCAAAATATTTCCTTCAAATAGTTTCCAAAATATTCATAAATACTGGTTTAGTTTCTGATACTCATACACTTAAAAACCACAATTTGCTGTGATAGGCTAAATTAGACAAATTTATGCAGGGGGTAAAAAATCACCTGAAGAAGCATGTTCTCTTTATGAATTAATTCCAAGTTTTCAATTACACCAAAAATCTCAGCTAAAGAGTAACATAATATGTTTTTAAAACAAAAATACATGTGGTTTTTAAAGAAGTACGAACTGGTACTGCAAACTGATTTTTCATTTTTATTTTATAAACCAGGTATAATTTAAAACAATCTAGTGACAGTATTTCAAATAGTGCTTCCCACGCTTGGATGTGTTAAGCACAATTTTTTTTACTAGTCTCATCCAACACCTGCATATTTTTTGCCTAATCCTACAAAATATTTGATTTAATCTCGAACTCCCTAAAAAATGGATTTAATTTAAAAAATGTAATATAAGATTAGACTCTTTTGACTGATAATAATTTACAATATAAATCATTTGATTAAAGTCAATCAGACCTGAGAAATAGAGACAACAAAAAAACAACAACTCCTATTGTTTTGATTTGTTGATAAATAGTAACCAAATATAGAGTGATCTCCCTTACGGAGTTTTATTTTTATATCCAACTTCTTGGTATAAGATTTTAATTTTTTCGCAAACAGATCAGCCATACTTGAACTGGAATACACACAGTGGGCCTAAATCAGCATCTAACAAAAAAAGTCCCCCACAATAATAATAATAACACAGGAACATAAACAGAAAGTAAAAATCAAGCATTCTCAGCCCTGATATAGAAGGTCTCTTCTTAATCAAGGGATATAAATGAAGCCTTGCGGTCAAAGCCAGGTTATACTTGAATTTGAGGACACTCCTTACAAATGCAATAATAACGCATCAATATGCATAGACTTATGGAATGTCAGAAGCATGTATGAGATAGGGAAAGCAGCAGAAAACAAAACACATTACCCTGCTTCCCATTAATTGTGAAACAAAATGGACACAAACTGGACCCATAAAAGAAAAGACGATGATGTTTCATAAATACACAAAGCATTGCATTCATGATGTCACAGGTGTTACAATTAGCATTGATGGGATTGCAAGCTCCAAAATTTTATGAAAGTGGCCAACATCCTATATTTTATACACCCAAAGTTTTTCGTATAATCTTTTATAAAATTTAATAGAGCAATGGGGGTTAAAGCTAAAAATTTGACACAACATGCATACAATTAACACACTCTTTAAGAATCCCAATAAGTGATCTCACCCCAGCTCGCATATTTTTCATGCCCCTGAACTATATTGATATGATATTCAATTTTAGAAAAACACAGAAAATATGCATTTCTAAAAAGAATCATTTATCGCAATTATCTGGACTTTAATTTTGGGGCTGAAAATTTGAAACAATGTGTTGTCATCAGCAACGTGTCTATGTGCCACGTTTCAGGTTGATAGGTTGAAGGGAAGTGGGTCAATTCAAATAGTCCAAAGATTTAGCCAAGGGGCCATCCATAAATGACGTCACGCGTCTAGAGGGGGGGGGGGGGCCTCAAGCCATGTGATGTCACATGAAAAGCAGAATGTTGTAGTAAAGAATTTCACTTAATAACACTAAATTACAGACATTATTTTTTTTTTAAACAACCATCATTTTATTTTAAACCTACTATCACTGAGAGAATCAGCACAGAATGCGAAGTCCGAAGAATGGCCTCTGACTCTGATCAAGTTACAGGATCCCCAGTAGTAGGAGAATCGGAATGTAATTACAATGACAGTCGTGAGAATTTGTGGCTAAATCTGGATACGGGAAGTGGGATGGAGCGGGGAAAAAAAGGTTGACCGCGGGGTGGGGGGCTATCTTAGTAAACGCTCTAGGGCAGGGATTCTTAACCTTTTTTGCAGCGTTGCAGGCCCACTCAGTTTTAAACATCCTTCCCCCAAACGTATCCATTACACCGTAATAAAATTTTAAAAAATTAAATGATTTAGTTATCGTAGTTTTATTTCTTTCATTAACTTTTTATAAACAGAGGGAAAAATTACCAATACACACAATGCGCCAATGAAATTCACCATTGACTGCTGCTAATCAAAATGCATAAAAACTTTTTTTTTTTTTTTTTCAAAGCAGCAATAACTAACAATTGCAGCAAATAGAATCAGTGGCGTAGATAGGGTTGGTGTCACCTGGTCCGTTAAGCCATTCGTGTCCCCCCCACCACCCCTCCTTTTTTTTTACGATGTATTTCTTCTTGTTAAACTTAGTCCACGATATAAGAAATGCAAGAACAAAAAAAAAATTAATTAAATCAGGGGGTAACTATATTTAAGAACTGCAACGTTCTTAGAATCGCTCATTGTTATCAAAGGAGAGTTGTATTTATCAGAATTTAGATAAAAATAGCTCCCTGCCACTTACAAAAGTTAACTAAAACTTGATTCGGTGTTGAAAAATGGTCAAAACGGTGTGTTTCTGACCTAATAATATGGTAACCTAATTGCGTCAACCTTGAGATTTTAATATTAACGAAACACGCATTTTAATTGGTTACATGGGTGACAAATGTACGCGTCATCTGTTATCCTTTTATGAATTTCGGTTAGACCGGTCAGTGCGTGCTTTATAATTACGCTATCTTTCAATTTGGTGTCACCCCCTGAGATGGTGTCGGCCGGTGCGGTCCGCACCCCTCTAGCTACGCCACTGAATACAATTTTTGGGTCGTCTACACCTCAAGGCTGGGGAGGTACTTGTAACCCTGGTTAAGAACCACTGATCTAATGAAATGTTTCTGACAGGGGTGCAGAAATTTGATACCCATGGTATGCGAATTTCTTAAGGGTTTTTAAAGGACAGCAGTGGACACAGGGACACATGGATGACCCGCAACCAGCAACCATTGAACCAATGAACAAAAGTGAAGTTAATATAATAACAGATTTAAAAATACCACATTAACAAAAATTCCAGATTTAAAGAGTTAAAATGAGGATCAGAGGCAGCAAGTCCTCAGACACGGGACTCATGGTGGTAACAAGCTTTTCCCTTTATTGACCAAACGGAATAAGGGAATGCTAAAAATTTACATGACTGTTCAATGCAACCAGAACAAAACTTAAAAGGGCAAGATCGACAATGATATTTATGATTTTTTGTTATTTTCATGGGTTGGATAGCTTGGGTGATTGGATATTTAAACAGTTTAAAAAAAAAGATTAAAATAATATGTGCCAGTACCGGTACAAGCTTTAATTTGTTTTGGCTCCGATGTCAATACCGAGTTGTGAGTATTTAAGTGCTGAGCATGTCATGCTGATATTAAACGTTTTAGATGGAATTATTTTTAAAAGTCAAATTAACAACTTTGTCAGAGTGATGCCTAGTAGAAAAACAGACCTTGTGAAGATTTCTCAGTTTCTTATCCAGTTCTGGATCACCAGTGCTGTCAAAATCTTTGGCACTTGGCTCTTCTGATAACACAGAGGCTGCTTCTGTTACCTCACCATTTTTAACATCACCCTACAAATTTTTACGTTAAAAGAAAAATAAATAGGATGAAAATAGTAATGATGCAAAGCCTCTCTTACATTGTGTTCAATTACCCTAAAGCCTCTCTTACATTGTGTTCAATTACCCTAAAGCCTTTCTTACATTGTGTTCAATTACCCTAAAGCCTCTCTTACATTGTGTTCAATTACCCTAAAGCCTCTCTTACATTGTGTTCAATTACCCTAAAGCCTCTCTTACATTGTGTTCAATTACCCTAAAGCCTCTCTTACATTGTGTTCAATTACCTTAAAGCCTCTCTTACATTGTGTTCAATTACCCTTAAGCCTCTCTTACATTGTGTTCAATTACCCTCAATAATTTTTGCATCCATGATGTTTGTCAAGCCCCCCCCCCCTCCAAAAATTCAAAGATCAAGTTATTTGTATTATTTTATATTTGTCAATTAATATTATATAATATATATGTGCAAATTTAATTTAACTGTAACACAATTAATGTTTTTTGTTGTGCTGATGAAGGCATGTGACCAAAACATTTAAATTTGTATTTTGTGTAGCCATTATTAAATCTTAAAATATAATGTTTTATTTACATAAACTGTGCATCATTGATCTGGTTAGAAGCTTTATTGAAGTCAAACATTGTTATAATTAGTGAATCTCAACAGTGTTTAGATGTGTTATGTTTTCATTGTTTTTATTTCAAACAAGTAACATAAACATATATATATATATAAATACAAGTTCTCAATATAGGTGTTGATTTTCTGCTTGCGTCCGGAGCACGGTTCATAAACACACACTCTCACAACAGTGTCTCTGCGCATGCGCGCTGTTTGCCCTAGATGGCTATCAGTATGGTCCAGTTTGCTAGTCCACCATAACAAGATGGATGACATCAAAAATTTATAAATAAACAGAATGGAATGTCAATTTTTTACTATGAGCGTTAAAACAATCTAACAAGTCTGAGTAAAAACGTTTTTTTTAAAAACTTTCAAATATAGCAAACCTCTTGTGTTGCCTTGGCTTTACGGGCTTCCCTTTTTTTCTTGTTTTTACTGGGTGCTTTATCAGCTGCTGTTGTTGCTTTCACATTTGAAGGAGGTTCGTAGTCTTGTAAAGGTTTTAAAGCTGGTTGTGAGGCGCCTGGATTTCTAGCATGAGGAGGTCGGTATGCAGCTGTTTGGACTGAAATCAATCACACAAGCGTAGTCACTAAAGGCAATGAGATTTAATTATAATTTTTTAATCTAAATTTTCTAAGATAATATAATGTAAGGTTTGTTTGTGTGTCAAACAGAATCCCTTGGCTATCCACCAAACAACTTCACAGCTTTGAATTATATTCGTCATGTTCAAAGTCAATATTATATACTTCTTTTTTTTTTAAAATACTAAAAAGGTCAGGCAGTGGGATCTGATCAACATCCCTCCAGTACAACAATAAGCTAATTTGTTGGAGCTAAAAATATAGTTTTTTTTAACCTGACTACATAAGCTATTTATTTTTATTCTTCCAGATTTATTTAGAAATTAAATTATAAATTAATTTCAGATTAAACAGCAAAAAAAAAAAATTAATACTAGATTTTACAATTAAATTATGCAAAATAATTAATAATATTGTGTCAGTTGTTAACTAATTTTGTTATTATTAAATATTTTATGACAATTATGTTCTAAATTCATTTAAATTATAAAGATCAAGCATTTGTGTGTGTGTTGCTCTTGATTTTTACTAGATCTATATATTTCTGCTCAGTTCTGCGAGGTTTGTGTATTTATTTCTATTCCCCTAATCCCCAAATATCGATTTGCTTAACAGCTGTGCTCATCAAATACATTTTCTAAAAGCTTAAGTTCAAAGAATTCATGTTTATCTATTGATCAAAGTCAGTGCCAGATTTAGATTTAAGCTAAGTAAGCTACAGCTTAGGCCCTCACAATCTGCCGACCATAGATTTTTAATTTTTCATTGACCAGCCCATGTAATTTAAACCGGTACGGGGCCTCTGGACTTTCTATCGCTCAGCAAGTCTAAGTCCGGCCCTGATCAAAGTGGTAGTGAATAATTGACTAGAAGATTCTATTAGTTACTAGCAATAGCCTTTGAAAAGCCACAGAGGCACCTCACCAAATTTAAATATTTTCAGAAAATTTAAATATTTTGCAAGCTTGCTTAGAAGTCGGGAAACCAGGCCCTTAGTAGAGTGAGTCATAACTTTAAGTTTGAGCAAGCTGGTTCTTATGGTTTGCATAGAAATTATGATAAATTTTCTTTGATTAAAAAAACCACATCTCTATCAATGATACTATTTCCATCATTAATTATGCAGGCCTGCACCTAGTGGGGAACAACCATGGCACTTGTCAGGGGCCCGAGCTAGATAGGGGCCTGTCCATTGAGTTTTTAAAATATAGGCACATGTTTCTAACACGAAAGGGGCCTGAAATCTGTCAGTTGCCTGGGGCCAGATTTTCCTAGGTGCAGAACTGAGTTATCACACTATTTTTATCTTAGTAACTGCACTATTATGGTACATTTCTATCATTAGTTATGGTACATTTCTATCATTAGTTATGGTACATTTCTATCATTAGTTATGGAACATTTCTAACATTAGTTATGGTACATTTCTATCATTAGTTATGGTACATTTCTATCATTAGTTATGGTATATTTCTATCATTAGTTATGGAACATTTCTATCATTAGTTATGGAACATTTTTATCATTAGTTATGGTACATTTCTATCATTAGTTATGGTACATTTCTATCATAAGTTACAGTTCTACCTCTATCATAAATTATGGTACCGTTTCTATCAATAGTTTTTTACTATCTCTATTATTAGTTAGGTACTATCTCTATCATTAGTTAAGATTATATCGCTCTCATTAGTGACATTACAATTATCACTATTTCTCACCTTTTGGTTGTTGTACTTCACTGGTGACAGGTTTAGAACTGATGGAAAATTGTTTTATATGGTCAACAGGACAAGGTTGATAAGCTGCTTCCCACAATTCAGCATGATCTGGTATGAAATGTTGTAGCATCAACATTCCAGTGTAGTGCCATATACGAAATCTAAATGAAAAAATATTAATTTGCTTTTACTACTAAATAATCTGAAATAATTAAGTTGATCAAATCAATGCATTTAGGTAAAATATTTTTTAAAGACTAATATGCATATGTATATAATGTATGTGTGTGTGTGTGTGTGTGTGTGGTGTGTGTGGTATGTGTGCATGTGTGTACCTTTCAGTTCTATTAATATGCCTAATCCTTCTAGTCTACATTTCTAATTTGTATTATGTTTTCACATCACAAATTTCTGAAAACTGCAAATGTTCAAAAAGCTGTATTGTCATTTTTGTCGATAGGTTGAAATAGATGGATTCATTTTTTTAAAAATTAAAAAAAATTAATCAAATTATATTTTAATTGAATACAAATTAAAGCTATTACTACAGGTATATAAAGATGGTTTTTATATTTGCATTAACTATTAATCTATCATATCTATTATCTATGCAAGATTTTTTTCTCTTTTTTTCTCTCCACATTTGTATTAACAGGTTGAAAAGCACTAGTCACAGGAATTATAACCTTTTCACTGTCGGCAGTCTTATAAAAAAAAAAAAAATTAAATAAATCCTGAAAGAAAGTGTTAGTCTTGGCCTAAAAGTACTACAAATACTACTGGTAATCATGAGTAATAGTAAGACAATATACAATGGTACCAACTGACTCTCAACTTAAATGATCATGTATTTGGGTCTCAACCTAAATGAACATGTATTTGGGTCTCAACCTAAATGAACATGTACAGACTCTCAACCTAAATGAACATGTATTTGGGTCTCAACCTAAATGAACATGTACAGACTCTCAACCTAAATGAACATGTACAGACTCTCAACCTAAATGAACATGTACAGACTCTCAACCTAAATGAACATGTACAGACTCTCAACCTAAATGAACATGTACAGACTCTCAACCTAAATGAAAATGTATTTGGGTCTCAACCTAAATGAACATGTACAGACTCTCAACCTAAATGAACATGTACAGACTCTCAACCTAAATGAACATGTACAGACTCTCAACCTAAATGATCATGTACAGACTCACAAGCTCAATGAACATGTACTGACTCTCAACCTAAATGATCATGTACAGACTCTCAAGCTAAATGAACATTTACTGACTCTCAACCTTAAATGTTAGAAAGAAATTTGTTAAGGAAGAAAATTTTTTGACAGAAATTTATTGCAACAAAATAAATTGTTTGAAATGAAATTTGTTGAATGGAGATTTAAAAAAAAAGAAAATTCTTTTCTGTTTAAAGTTTAAGTGAAGGTGCGAGTGAGAAATGGGACAGATGTAAACTCATATTTAATTTACAGTACTAACTCTGTCACTAGCTACAGTATTATTTAATTTCTCACAAATTTCCTTTGGAACAAATTTGAATGGTTGACTATGTGGCATATCTTCACTTGATGAAATAGAAACACTCCAGTATAGCAATTCTCAGGGTAACAGTTATTATAACAATCCTCATAGTGGCAGGCACAGTCCTCATGATAACCTGCACAATTCTAATGGTAACAATCACAATCCTCATGGTGGCAGGCACAGTCCTCATGATAACCTGCACAATTCTAATAGTAACAATCACAATCTTCATCATGACATAGCGACCCAGTAGGAATCCTCAGTTTCTCTAGCAGTTATTTACCTAAGAACTCATTTGAATCTGTGAATTTATTTTTTCTCTAGAAAGATGAAGAACCTATTCTTTATTTAGTTGAGTATCACCCCAATAAACTGTGGCATTAGACCGACCAACAACACAGACAATCCTCAACAGACATTGAAAACTAAGTGGAAGGTGCCAGTTTTACATTACCGGCGCCCTCCTAATGTTCACCTGACTGGTGTCTATGTTGATGACAGAGGTTTCCAACACTGCTAACACCCGCTCACCCTGTTTGGAGAGAATGTTTTGTAGTGTCGCCGCCCATGTCACTAATATTCTCAGATCACGGTGGACAATCAACGTCCATACTTGTTATTGTATATACAGCTAGGGCTCGACTCACCTTACCACCACGATCGGTTCCGACAGACCGTCCGTAGCACACAATTTGGTCTTAAGTTGAGTACGCTATGTGTACGGTAATGTGAAGGGACGTTATAAAAAATGTTTAAGTTAAATTATATCATAAATTTCTTTTATTATTGTTATAAATCATAATTTTCGATGTTCATTTTATGCCATTTGCATCATCTCTACTTCATTTTGTTTCTTATTTTTACATCGTCAGGTTTAAGAAAAACACTGCATTAACTGTACATGTACGGCGGGTTTAATATTTGCAAAACATACATAAATACAGGTGTGGGAAATACTATAGGAAAAATTTTCCTAATCGCTAAACACATCAAATTGTCATTAACATCAAAGTATATAAACATGTACGAAACATTTTTTTGGCCACTGGCGCTTGGCTGCAGGTCATTAATGTTGTCATCTAAGGCAGCAGTTGGGGGTACCTAGGGTAATTGAGTATGACCGTGTTATTTCTTAGAAATTGATGATGTCGGCTAGCAGAATAGCATCATCATAGCATCATGCCTCCCTTTCCTTAGTTAACAACCGCCGATGACTGCAGACGCCGCCGTTGGGGCAGAAATAAATCTGAAATCTAATATGGCCAGTGATTGTGGTTGTAAAGTAGTATTGTCATAAGTTGCATAGGTCGTAAGTGAAACACTGGCTGTATAACTTACCCATTGCCAACTCTAAGTCTTGGCGCGGTAGTGGCTGTGAGAACATGCTGACCATCAGGTGACCACTCCAGATGTGTTGTATCAGATGCCTGAGTCTTTGAGATTAACTTCTTGTTCTTCATATCCCAAAACTCTAAATTACCAGCAAGATTTCCAAAGCCAGCAAGGCATAAAAGTAACACAGTTAAGGATGTTATCATTGTTATTTCAATTTTAAATCCTTACTTATCTATATACACCTATCAAAGAAACAGCACCTAACAAAGAAACAGTAGTTAGCATCTAACAAAGAAAAGGTAGTTAGCACCTAACAAAGAAACAGTATTTAGTGTTGTTCAAAAGCTCACAAGTAATATCATTAGTTACAGTATGTGGTGCTGGAGTAGTTATAATACCCGGCATTTAAGGTTTCGAAATTATTCATATCAGGGAAAGGTCTTGGGTAAAAAATATGCACTTTTTTTGTGTGAGTCATCTGAAAAAGTTGCCACCTTATCGAAACTGGTTTCTATAAGATGTTGAAGAAGGCCAAGTGGAACAAAATCTACCAACAACTGTAATGGGTTTCAATGTCTAGTTAAAAAAAAAAAATGTCACCATTCACTGTCAAACTTTTGTATACCCGATGTCCTATTTGGCGGAAAGTGGTTTTGACTGCAGTTATTCAAATTAGCCCAAAGCATATTTCTGAACATGTTCATTTAAGACCAGGGTCTTGTTTTTTTTTTTTTTTTAAACATAAACCAACAATTGAACAAATGGTATCACTTTACTGAGCCCCCCCCCCAAAAAAAAAATTAAGAGAATTCAGAAAAAATATTTTATAAAGAGAAAGAAAATAACAGGGCCCTTCGAACTCTGAGACCTTGAACTACATCTTTTTTCATTTTATTTCCCTAGTTTTTATATAGTCACTCCGACAAAATTCACCCTGAACTACATTGCTTTTCCATTCCATTTCCCTAGATTTAATATAGCCACTCCTAAAAATTTACTTTGAACTACAATAAGTAGGTCTCTTACATTACAACAGGTATTATTAATGATTGAAGTTAATAGTAAATAATTGCCATCACTGCCAAGAGAGTTAAGGTTGTTGGAGATCTTCGTTGAGTAAACCGGTAGGGAAGAAGTAGAAGAGAAACAGATTGAAACATAATCAAATTAATGTACTGCCTAATTAGAACCACACAAAAAAAGGATATTATTGCCTTGTGGGTTAAAGCAGCAAAAGTTCCTTGGGCCGGTACCAAAATCAAATGTGGGTTCACACTTGAGGTTGTAAATTGTAGTTTTGGCCGGCATGTCTGGTGTGGTATTGGTCAAGGAAAATGAGGTCATAAGTTTGTTTATCTACAGCAAATTACGTGGAGTCCTGACAAACAGAATTTTTCTCACAAAGTGAGTAAAGCTTTAGTCAGAAATAGTTTATTTAATTGAGCTGAGCAACACATTTGCAATCACCTAAACTTTGGTTTTGAGTTTTCACACCGTCAAGCATCTGTTTCATTAGAGTGTAAAAATAATTATCAAAATACTTTACTTAAAACTAATAATCAAAGGTTAATTTTAAAATTATTCTAAAATTAATCCATGTCCAGTATTTGCCCTCTTGTTTATGTTTTATATGTGGTAGTATGGTAGCCATAGTCTTAAAGGGGAAACATATTCAAATCTTTCAAATACGGAAGCCATATTCTTAAAGGTAAACAAATTTAAATCAGTCATATATGGTAGCCATATTCTTAAAAGGTTAACATATTTAAATCAGTCATTTATGGTAGCCATATTCTTAAATGGGAAACATATTTAAATCAGTCATATATGGTAGCCATATTCTTAAATGGGAAACAGCTTCAAATCAATCTTCATAAACTTCCTTTTTTTTTCTATGCATTATTTCAATTCCTAACTATTCAAATAAAATAATTGCAAAATAAACAAGAGCCATACTTGAAACTAAACTGCTAATACTAATCTGTAATGGGTCCCTCATAGTCCATTGAGCCAGACAGCCACATCATGAGGTGAGGTTTGAGCCAGACAGCCACATCATTACCGAGGTGACGTTTGAGCTAGACTGCCAAATTGTTAGTGAGGTGACGTTTGAGCCAGACAGCCACATCGTTAGTGAGGTGACGTTTGAGCCAGACAGCCACATCATTAGTGAGGTGATGTTTGAGCAAGGCAGCCAGATCATTAGTGAGTTGACTTTAGGAAGGAACATAATACAAGTAGCCCTACAAGTGCAAGATAATCTAATAACCCCTTACAAAAAATTAACTTTTTCCTTCAACACTGCCAGTAAGTCAGACGGCAAGATTTTGAGGATACAGCCATGAATAACAATAAACTCTGTATTATTTGTCAGCCATTCAACGTGGTAGACAGGACCTGGTTTCTCTGTTAGATGATAAAACAAAACATTTTATAGAATTCAATAACAAGCTACAAAGGGCCATAAAACAACATGCTCATTGAGAAATTCAGATAAAATTCCAATACTAATGGCAAAAAAAAAAAAAAAAAAAAAAAAAAAATTTAAAAAAATTCAAAAAAAAGATAAAAAGGGCCAAAAAACAAAATGCTCATTAAAAAATTAAAAAAAAATTCCAAAACAAATGGAAAAAAAAAAAAAAAAAAAAAATATATAATATATATTTATCTACTGTAAACAGGAAAAACTAATTTTAAACTAAATCTGTGTCAAAAACAATATCCCCTCCCATATACACCCACACATAAACACAAGTCTGTTTACTGACTGCTCTATGGTCATGAAATAAAACAAAAGGGGACAAAAAAATGCATTTATCCAATAGGGAAAGTTAACACTTTTTTTAAATTCTGTTTTTTTAAAGAGTGTATTAAAATTTATACAGGAAATTGTGAGCAAATTGTAACTGAATATCTCTAAAGATCATATGTAAGTAATTTGGTGCCAAGCTTGAAAGATCAACCGAACCCATGTGATTCTCATAATGTATGCAAAACAAATGAAAAGAGAATCTGCCTGAAATAATGGAGGGGGGAGGGGGCAGGCTCAGGGTGCATAGGGTTGCAACAGTAGGGAATGGATTAAGCGATATCTTCGTTTTACTTACGGGGTGGTACCATACAGCTTTCACCACTTGTAGATAAGAAATGAAGTCCTTGTTCACCATAGTATGAGCTGTCGGAACTCTCTGTTGATGTCAGCACAAGAAGACTGCTCCCTGCACATCACAGCACAAAGATTGTTTTATAAAAACAATGATTGCAACAAATCACATTATAGTTATATTTTATTACATCTCAATATTTACACACACACACCAGAAATAAGATGAATGCAATAGTAATATAATATGTATAACCTTATTATAGCAGACTGCTTGAAGTCTAAGCACTAGTTAAAATTTTACAAAACTAATTTTATTTTAATGTGGTGTTACCGACTATGCTACGTATTAATGCAATGAAATTGACCAAATCAATGTATGGAAATAACAGTAATTTATTGTCTTGTTCACTTCTACAAATGTAAGCTCCAAAAGAAAATTCCCTTTTCACTTTTGTCAAATCTTAAAGTAAGCTGTCCTGTGCTTTTTATTTTCTCCAACATTCAAAATGGACATTCTATTTCATTGGTAGACTTATTCTAAAAATAACTGATTACATAATATTAAAACAGGCCATTGGACTTATATACAGATTTGAGCCCAGGCAATGTTTTTTTAAAGTTTTGAATTTGAAATATAAATATTTTGTTTGACATACCAATTTTATTCCAAAAAAAATTGACCCGATCGGCCTTAAAAAAGCTTTTATTCGCCAATGTTGATTCTGGCCCTGCAAAGTTGGGATATCGATAGATGCGAACAAATGAGGGTTGGCCCTATGAGATAAAAAAACACACAAATTATTGAAATTAATCATTAAAAATATTTTAAGTAAATCTTATTCAAATTGAAAGGGGAATTAGAGAAAAATTAAAATAGTTTTAGAGAAGGAGCGAGAGAGAGGAGAGACGAGAGGGAGAGATGGAGAGAAAGGGGGAGGGGAGAGAGGAAAGAGAGAAGAGAAAAAAGAGGGGATAGGAGGGAGAGAGAGATTGAGAGAGTAACTTACTTTTGTACCAGGCACATATGTAGCTATGGTGTAAGGAGGGATGCTTTTAGCAAGACCGAAGTTTGACACTTTCTGTAAGATGAGTTTCGTCACTATATTGTCTGCAATAAGATACAAGCTGACAATGAAGTTTACTTGCTAAGTAATTGAAACATTTAGTTTCATAAAATAAAGTAGGCAATCTATGCTGCAAAAGGATTGAAAACTTTTAGCAAATTAATTTGTATCTGCCTTTTTTGTTGACAGATAGGTCTCTTAATCAGCCTAACGATATCAGAAAATGTTACCTAGATTTTTTTGTATAAATCCACATGGTTTTAATAGAATATTAAATGTTTTGATTTCAACAAACACAGTGGTACCTCGGGTTACGAACTTAATTCGTTACAGAACTCAGTTCGTAACCCAAGTCCTACAAGTCCTACTCCAGACCAGATGGGTGGGCAGGACCAATGTCCATAAGCAGAGGACATCGAAGGGGGAGATTGTTTTCTTCCAGGTTCTTCTTCACACTTGGGGCAAACACTTTAGTCAGCCATTCCATTAAGTTGGCTCTCGTCATCAATGCCTTAGCACCAGACTTCCACATCACAGGCATTTTGCGTTTAAAGACGTGAGGATTTTCTGAGTGATAGACCAACATTGGTGTAATCTTGCAGTCACCAGTGGCATTGGCATCAGAACAGTAGTTAGCCTGTCCTTCATTGGTTTGCGCCCCGGCAGTGCTTTCTCCTCCTGGGTTATAAGGGTCCTCTTTGGCACGGCCTTCGTTTGTACTCTATGCGATCGTTTGACTTCAATGTTGAACCTCGCTCTCTCTTTCTCTCTCGCATTCGTTCATAACAAAATTTTTTCCGAAGTTGTTGTTCGCAACCCCAATTGTTTGTGACCTGAGGCGTTCTTAACCCCAGGTACCACTGTATTATTAAAACAGAAAATTGCATCCTAAAATTCAAAGGCAAATTATTTTAAAAAGTATTTTAACATTTGTTCATAGAAAGGGCTAACAATATGCTCTGAAGAAAGAAAGCGTTTTGATGGTATTATGTCTCAATGAAAGTGCTGCCTAAGCACAAAGCCAACACACTAATTACATAGAGATTGAATTGAAGAAGAAGTTTATTTAAACAACAGTTTGCAATAAGTCAGATACCTGTAGCATATTAAACAATGCATTGCTTCTGTAATCAGGGAACAAAATATCACTTAATTTCCCCACTCTCAGATAAACCCAGAATTCTGTCCATCCCTTTTTCACAAAGTGATGGTAATGACATATTATTTATTTAAAAACTTACCGAAATTATTCTTCTCAAAACAATGTAACTCATTGTTGACACTGCGTACACAAATGCCTTCATCGGAACTCCACTGTGGACACCTGTTTCAAGAATTGCAATGTCATCTTGAATAGTTACCATTCTTTCAACCACAAAATCTAAAACCAGAGACTAATATTTATAGACATATTTCTAAAAGAGAAGACCTTTTCTATTAACTAATATTTATTTAATCATTGTAGTCCCAAATAGACTAAGAAGTAGCCAGTTCAGTTGGCAAAATCAAAAAGCTCTAAAAGAATTTAAGCATTGAAAAAGGTTCTATAGTAGTCTGATTAAAAATTTAACCCCCCCCACCCCCCCCCCCCAAAGTAATAATTAAAAGTTACATGCAAAAATAAGAAATTTTACAGAAATCTCTTAAAAAAAAACTATTAAAAACTTAAAGAGCTCTTTTACTAAAATATTAATGAGATAGCCTATAGATATTACTAAGGTGATTCCATTTTTAAAAATAAGTAATTAAAAAACTTGAAAAAAAAAAAATGATTCTGAATAGTCACTGTTAGCTAACAATTAGGGAAGGAACACATTTCAATAATTTTAATTTTCTACATACCAGTTAGTTTGCTTTTTCTGAATTAATGATTTTTTTAAGGTCCCTGTTTTAACATCAAAGAGATGAAGGTTTGGGATTCCTCCACCACCTTCACGGTTCACTGAAAAAAAATATTAAAAAAATTAAAAGATTTTTAATACTTTTAATTCACCTTGTAATTAATTTCCTTCTTACAACCTAGAAACTTAACATTGGGAATACAGGCACGACACTGCACCTGTTGTAACTACACTGGAAATAAAGGCACGGCGAAAGCATGCTGCACCTGTTTTAATTATGCCATTTATTTTTAAACATAGACTTGGTGCATCCCATTGTTTAATGATTGTAATGGCAACAATTAACTTCCATTTGCCTGAGTCTGCCAACCTTTTCAACCCATTACCAAAGCTGATGCCCAATTCTTCAACACCCTTTTCAACCCAAATCTTTCCTAGCTTCATTTTTAGGAAACTATACATATATAGAGTTCATCAGTCCAAATTAAAATCGACCATGACCATTAATTAATCATCGTATTTGTGTGAGCTATGCAACTAATAAATTTAGGACTGACATGGAAGGTGACCAGGTAGTATTTGGTACATTTACCAACACCCAAGCAAGTTAGCATTAGTTTGAGCAGTAAAAGCATTTCCAATTCATAATATTGCACTAGAAACATTTACTTTTTTTTCCATTCTGCGACTGAATTTTAAAAAGAAAGATACCAACAATAATAATTAAAACTAATGTAACAATTGTGGGCCTTTTCTTTTGGTTTTTGTTTTGCTGTTGAATCATTAAATGTAAATACAAGTAAATTTTTGTAGGTATTAGTTCTTCTTGTTTTACTTCCTCTTATGTGCACTTGATTTGTCATTGATCACTTGTTTTATTTCCTGGTTCCCAGTTTCAGACCTGTTTACCCTCAAACTCTTAAAATCGTACTATATCATCACAAAATCATTCAATACATTACCTTAATAGTAAAAAAATAAACATACAGTATATATAATGTGTGCACCTCAAAATCGTACATTATGCGCCAAAATCGTAAGAGTAAACAAGTCTGCAATGTGGTCCCTTCTCATTTGATCAGCTGCTCACCGTAACCATCTCATCTTGCAGATGAAGAGTTTTTTCTTGAGTTTTATTCAGAGCCCAGTTCCGACACTGGTGAGTGTTGAAATAAAGGCAGTATTAATAAGCCTGGTGGTGGTCTCCATCTTTACTCTAGGGAGCCTTATTAGCAGGGCTGTATGGTAACTGACTGATTTCACCTTATATATTGGTCCATTTTCTGTGAATGCTTCCAACATATTTAAACTTACCGCGTTGACAGAGCATCTGACCACTGATAGTTTTGTCCTGTTTATCTGGGGCAGGATCCACTGACATGGCCTCAGTCTTATGTGTTGATTTTCATCCCATAAAGTTGACAGCTACTATTCAGGCCATCAACAAGGCTCTGCCATTGTTCCTTGATGTCATTCAGGATGCTTCGGTGATCACTCAAAAAAAAAAAAAATTCATTTATTGCCTCAGGATTCAGATTGGCATCCTTCATGATTTTGTCCAAGCCAATTAAGACTCACAACGGTGAAAAAATGTAGCCCTATTTGACTCCAAACCTCTTAAAGATTCCATTAGGGCCATGCACAGCACTATTACTTACAGTATAGAGTGCCCTTATTTTTTTATTGAGGAGCTGTCCTTTGACTCGTTACATTTTCAGCAACTCCCAGAGCTTATTCCTGTCCACCCTGTGCAATGCTTTTACCATTTAAAAAAATACAACCAAAAAAAAACCAGATGAAGCTGTTGTTGATATTCACAAGCTTTTTCACACATTTGCCAGAGAGATTGCATCCGTTCAAACGCTTCCTTTTCTGCAGTCAAACGGAGCAGTGCTCAAGAAGTGGGTCAGCTGTAGTTTGTGTTCACTTCTCCAGGATCTTCGCACATGTTTTAACAGTGTGAGGGGAGATGCCTCTAAGTCCAGTGGACTTTATGAATTCCCTTTCCCATTTCTTTAGGGGTAATACTACTACTACTACAGCTCTTGGACAGTCTTCTGGGGAGCTGCTTTCTTCCTACACTTTTTGAAATGTGAATCACTTGATACAAATCTCTCGCTACATGCAGGGATGGCTTCTGTGGTGATTCCACTGCATTGTTTTTGAACTCAGAATTCTTCTTCAGGGTTAGTGGTTTCTGTTTGCTATGGGTGCTTGGATTAAAACTGTAGTAAAACAGAAGGACATTTCTCTCAGCAGCAGGACTGAGCAGCTCTTTAAAGAAATCCACCAATCTCTTATTAGGCTCATTTACATTTGTTTATCAGATTTGCTTGCATAAGTTATTAACTTTCTAACTTTAAAGTTGTGTAACATTTGATGTAGATCTTTTTCAAAAATTAAAACAATATTACCCATGTAGTTATTCCAACATGCTAGAATGCATCCATTGGGTGAAAACTTCAAATCCATGACTTTTGGAAGTCCAAGGTCTTGAAGAATTTCTTGAGTTTTAGTATCCATGATGTAAACACTTCAAATAAAAATCATCATTAAAAATCCAATTAAAAATGTGTATTTGTTTTGTACAGAAATTAAGTAGTGTAATTTATATTCTTTGAGAAAAGTTGGTATGCATAAAAAATTATTGTGCGTGAAAAGTTATAGCAAATCAAAGTGTGGAATGGCTTCAATAGGAAGAATTTTCAGGCTAACAGCAAATCTACTTTTCATACATTTTATTTTTGGATCATGAAAAATTAATTGCACAAGTCACAAGATTAAGTCATCATAAAAATAAACAACTAATGGAGGGGTAAATGAAGAGTCAGGATAGTTAGTTATATTCACTGTGTGGCTTATTCACCTGAATTTCAAATGTGTATAATGCTTTGAGGAAAATATACGGTAACATAAAAAACCCTCCAACATTTTCATCCTTCATACATTAATAACTAATGACAGTTAAATGATAGCAGATTATCTTCTTTTTTATTCATAGTTTCAGTTACCTTTCCATGTTACACCATGCAAACAATGATCCATCCCCTGAGAAGGCCATACATTTGCAAGAATTGCTTTTGTCACTGAAAATCAAATAGACAAAGTGAAAACATAAAACTGTAACAGGGAATTTAATGTACGAACAAACTATGGTGGGGAGTTAACACTATCTACAAAGTATACTGAGGAACAAATACCAACTACAAACCAGCATAAGGAACATACTTTTTACAAATAAGAATAAGACTTATGTAAATTATTTTGACAGTGCATTAGTGGATTGGGTACTAAATGTTTATTTTGCTTTAAGCATCAACATAAAAGTTGATGTTTGGTGCATTGCTCTGAAAAGCATGAAGATAAATTTACAAAACCTCAACACCTGTGTTCAAATATAATTGGTGGAAATAAAATAAAATAAATTTACATATCACTAATTAACTTACATTTTATTAGTAGGATCAGCACTGAACTTTGCACCATCAATTGTCCAAAGACCATTAGCTCCTCTCACTGATAAAAATTCAGTTTAATTGGGGGAAAAAAAACGCAAAGAGTTAAATACATTTATATATGTGTTATGTAACGAAAGTCTTTTGGATGAGATAAGGAAGTTAGAATAACATTTAATGTAGCGACAGAGCAAATTTCGGTATATTTTAGGTTTCAGCCAAAAGTGATAGAGGCTTTTGGTTGTCAACCATAAGACTGACTGTCACTTTGTCCGTCTGTTGGCAATCTGATACTCATAAATTGCTGAATGTCTTGCTGTCTTCCTTTGATATAAGGCTAATATCTGTGAACAGTGCTCACAGATGCATGATGACCTTCTTGTCCAATATATCCAAAAATAAAATTTAAATCAGGCTAAAGCAAGGTAAATAGTTTTGTGGAAAAAAAATTATGGGAATGGTACCGGTAATATTTTTATGAATATTATTTTTTCAAAAATATAATTTTAGAACCCTTGGTTTATTCAATTCATTCATTTGTAACATTCATTTTGATTTATAATGATCATGCTCTCATAAATGTTGTCATAGGCAAAGGTGAATAATATTGTAAAAATAAACCTAGGGAATGGTTTCCATCCATCCCTGTGGCACTACAGCCCATGTAGGCATTGGCCTGCTTCACCACTTCCTTACACTGAGACCTAACTGATGCTTTCCTTTTCCATGCTTAGATTCCCAGCTGCTTTAGATCATTTTCCACATCATCCATCCATCTAAGCCTATGTCTGCCTTTAAGCAGTTTTCCTCTGGGGCTTTGGTGGTGCACCATCTTCACTCCTCTGTCATTAGGCATTCTTTCAAAGTGTCCTGCCCAGCGTAGCCTGCCCTTTTATATTTCTGCTACTAGCATGGGATCCTAATATAGACTATACAATTCCTGGGTGGTTCATATTCTCCATCCATATTCATCCTTTGATGGTCCATATATTTTCCGGAGCAGTTTTCTCTCTCATGTGTTTAATAGGTTTTCTGACGTTTTTATTAGAGTTCAAGTTTCCCAGTTTTATATATTTATATAGTTTTCTTTGTTTTCTTGAAATGTTTTTACATTTGTCAAAGTATGCCCCACTCAACCTAAGGCCAAGGCTAAACTAAGGCAACACGCTGCAACTGACATATTGTAAATAATATAAAGTGCAACACTCTACGCACTGTAGCCAAACTCATCACTTCACTGTGACTGTGAATCGTGACTGTGGCCATGCCAGCCTATTGAGTGTGATTGAGTTTTAAGTTTTGGTGTTTTAGTGAGTGTAACAGAAATCAGTTTCAGACGGAATTAGTAATTTTTTCAGTAATCATGATGAGTAATTAGTGTGTGAGTGTGTTTAAAATTTAATTTTAAGTCACAGTAAATAGTAAAGTGTAAGTTAACCATAAGTGAAAGTGAGTTAAGTCTGTTAAAGTTAAGTCAAGTGAAGTCACCATTGAAGTGAGTGAATTTCAAATCTTACCCAAATCTGTTATAGTTATAAGTTATCAAAACAAGTTGATATAAATTATAATTATAATTAGGCAATTAAATTAGAATTAATTAGGCCTAATTAAGGCAAATTAAAAGTAGTCACAATTAGTGTTAAACATAAAATATATAAGTCTGTCATAGAAGACATATTTATGACAGTAAAACAATATACATGGTAAAATAGAAAGAATGACAAATATTCGAAAATATTGGCAGTAAATCAGCATTGCTTTTCTTACAATAAATGGGCGCAGCCATGTTTCTGTTGATCCTAATTTTTTAAAGGCAGTGTCTACACGTACGGCGACCGGACAGATAGTGTGGGAGATATTCTTCCGGCGTATATGTCATGTGAACGCCGGACGACTAGTATGTGTTATTATTCCGGCAGATTTGTCATGTGACAAGAGGTCACCGGCAAAATTTTAAAAAAATTTTAAAATCCGTTATCTTGCTTTAAATATCCAATGAAGCTCTACCTAGTAGCCTAAAAAATATCAACCAAAGAAAATAAACCTACAGTAAAAAAAAAAGGACATATATTAGGCTATAAATGAGGAGTCCAATTGCAAACCCTGCTAAGTCGATTTTTTGAAAAAAAATGAGTTAGTCCCCTTGGCTCATCTATGAAGTGCTATTTCACAATATTTTACTAGTTTTTAAAATCAAAACCCGCTAAGTTCGCTAAGTTCGCTATTTAAAAACGGAGTGGCTATAGGTACCCGGTTACCCATAGCAGCAACTGGCTATTGGGATCCGGCTGGTCACATGAGGGCTTTAGATTATTCGGTTGGTCACGTGAAAGTTATGACGGATACTTCCTGTTGGTTTGCCATCTTAGAGCCATTATTATCAATCCAGAAACGTGCCATATTTTCAAGACTTTGAAGAAACACAAAGAGTAAGAGCAATGTGACGTACAGCTAAAAGCAAGTAAGAATACGTTTATGTTTATAATTTTATTGTATTTTTAATTCTATTTTAACTATAGTACTAAAACTAAAATCATTAACATGACATCAATCAAGATTCAAGATGTTGCTTTTTTTTTTTTGGCGGCAAATCGGCTACCGGTACTGTCTTACCTGTAATTGTAATGAAACGTTTGGCTGCGGCTATTCGGACCCGGTATCAGAAGTGGGTACTTCAATTTTAATTCACCGCAAAAATTATTATTATTCACTTTTCCCATAAAAAAAAATGGCTAAAACAATTGGGAGAGATCAACCCGCGGCCGCCAACTTGGTTATCGTGACCCACGAACTTATGTCCTAAATTTATCCCTAAACTAACCTGAACCCTAAATGTATCCCTAAACCTAACATGAACCCTAAAATGTATCCCTAAACTCTAATCAATCTGAATTAGCCTAAAAAACTTTTAATTCAAAAATTATTTTACATTATTTCACACTTCCAATATAACAATTGTTATTTTGAATAAAAAAATACTTACTTCTTTAAACTTTAAATTAAAGGTAGGTAGTTCGGTAAGATCCGGGAAGTGCCGAAAACCGGGTATCGTGATTTCGTTGTCAAAATGGCAACCTCCACTTTTTAATTTACCGAGAGTCACGTTGTTTACGACTTTTTAACTATATATAGCCCAGCATGTTAATTCTATTTCCGCCCACAACTTAGAGTAGACATCTTGTGTTATGATTAGACACTTGAGTCCCTCAAAAAAATTTTGGAGCTTCACTTTGCAAATTGAAGGCAAAATAATGCAATTTTTTACTCATTCATATTTTTTGTGTGGAAAGGAACCTTTCTTTGAATTTCAGGGACTTTATAAATAATGGCATTAACTACAACATATCCAAGACCTGTTAATTTAGGCCCATCAGTAGGTACTTTGACACACATTTTAAATATTGTCCAATAGTCAATAGCCACAAATAATACACCATTTTAAAGGGCTCGCTATAAGCTTTGCAAAAACACCAATTTCATCTTTCTATCTTTTATGGAAAAAAAGTTATGATTTTTTGGGTGAATTTTTTAACCCCTTTATTTATCTTTGTATTTAACGAAAAAACTTGTGGCCAACTTTCCACATTTCTGCTTTATTTTGTCCACAACTTTTTTATTTTAAAAGATAATGCTACCAAACTTTCAGGAGACATTCTCAATGCAATATACAACACAATAAACAACAAAACTTTTATATAACATCAAGACTTTTATTTTTTTATATATTTAATCGAGGGTATGTTCAGAAAAAAGTGAACAGAAAAATTGGGAAAATCATTATTTATACAGGAAAAATTGAAAAAAATAACATGTTTATTGAATTTTAACTAATTTTATTATGCTTGTGTTAAATTTTAAATCATTATATTTATAAAAAGGTAAGTAGTCTTTTTTTATATATAAAATTGAACGCATGTAATTATATATAACAAATACTAATATCACCCATAAAACTAATTACAAGCATACCCTTATCGGAGTATGTCATTAAATATTTAAAAGGTAATGGGGATCTTCTGCCTGCCATTTTCCGGGTAGAATGCCCTATAGTGACTTCTTTGTCTTGTTGATGAAACCCACACATTTTTCCTTCATAAACTTTGTCGCCGCCATCTGCATCCAAACATTCCGCCTTATTGGATATGGGCCATGGAAGGAATTCCAAAGTTTGCAACAGAAATGTAAAATTTTCTCTTCCACCCAAAAGAAGCCTAACATTAAATACTAATCATAATTCTGAATCTATACAATTTTTAGTTTCTTTTTAATATTATTCAAGTGATGTTTTTATTAAATTTATTTCCTTTTTTTGTTTTGTTTATTTAATTAGAAATATATTATTGTTGATATAAATGTTAACATTTTCTTATGCCTCTGTCCTAGTTTGATATAATTACTATGATGATGTAGAGTCTTATTTATTTATTTATTTTAATAAACTTGTTATAGACTAATTCATAGGTTATCTAATTTTAATTTTAAACAAGTCACAGTGACTCAGTGACGCAATTTTCACAAAAAATAAATATGTACGAAAAAAAAAATAATTATGCATTACCATATTTTATTGGAATTACAATTGATAATAGTATATTTTTAATAGTGGTAGCAACTGCTTTTATTTTGTTATTATCATTAATTATAATTTATAAATACCACTAATAACTAGCATTATATATTATAGTAGTAGTATTACTACTACTACATATAATAATTATATAAATCAAGGGACAAAACAAGTCCGAAATTCACCGGACTACACGAACTACAATTATTTAAAATTATTTAATTTATTAAGTTGTACTACTTTCTAATAATATTGTAAAACAGTTTTCCCTTTATTAACTAATTAGTCTACCACGGATTATCAAAGATGAACTATAATGAATAAATGAAAATATCTTTAAGTTAAATTGGTAATAACAACCATTTCCGACAACCCACTTTTTTTTGTGAGGGGGGATGACTCGGGTGACTACTAACAATTTTATTTTCTTACACCTTCCAGTTGGATTGGCATAACTTTTGTGCGTTTGAGCTAATTTTAATGAAGTAAAGTTATTAAAATGTGTGAATGAATGAAGCAGTATTGGGCTAAACCACTATGTGTTTGAGTTTTACATTAAAAAGTAATAAGCAATTAACGTACATACCGATGAAAAATTAAATGCGTTACCGGTCACAAGATTCTAAATGCTGTAAATATGGTATTCACATGTTTGGAAAAATATGTGCTCCACGTCACCGATAATTTAAATACTATTATTAGGAAACAGTGACGTACAACGCAAAAAAACGACACCCTCGCTATGCCGTATAGCTATATTGCAGCTCAAGTTTTTCCGTGATTTTTCGACTGCGCAGAAGGGATGCGCGTGCGTCTTTTGAAATACCTACCATCAGTTTGGTCAGAAATTTCCTCGGAAATTTTAGTCACATGTGTCCCAAAATTACCTATTATCGTTAATATTCGTTGCCATGGTAAATAACCTGATTTACTCTGGAAATCCAGCCATTACCCCCTAATAATAATAACTTATTTAGAAATAAAAATAAAATAATTAATAAAACAAATACATATTTTTAATATGATTTGATGCTTTTATTGAAGGATATTAGGTTAAAAAAGCCTAATTAATTACAATTCATAGTTAACTATTAGTTTTATATACTGTTATATGTATACTATTAACTATATATATATACATATACTATATATACATATATGTATATATAGAGGCCCAGAATAGTATTACTATTATAAGTGTAGGCCTATCCCCCTCCCCCACCCCCCAATAATTATTTGTAGGACCCATTATTCATATGCAATGATATATATGGTGATTCTTAAGGCATAAATTAAGTAAAAATGTACAAAAATATTCACTTACCTTTGGTATTGAAATATCCTATATTTAATCAAATATTACACTATTCCAAAAGAAAATTATTATATAATCCTCAGTATTCTCAAAGAAAAAACACACTTTCTGCCACAATAATCCAAGAATTACATGAGATATTACTAAAATTTAATAATAAAACATTGTAATAACCCCAAGCAAATAACTAGAACTTATTTAAAATTCTATCAACAGCCAAAGTTGATTCTTACAAGAAATGTTGATCTGTGAAACAACTTTACTAACTTAAAATAAATGACATTACTATTTTTTGTCATGTTCACACATTCATATGGTATGGGACTAAAGTACATTATATAGAAAATGGTAAAATAAAAAGTGTAATAGTCAATTTTAACTTATTGAAACAAATAATCCCTTTATTATTAGTATATACTTATAAATTTTAAACAATTCTACAGAAAATTTTAAATTAATATCTTAAGAATATTTTATTATTATTATGAATTTTGGGAAGTTGAAAATTTAAAAAAAAAAAATTAATTAATTACGAATAAGTGACGAGTCAGCATATTTTATATATTTTTAATAGGAAAATAATAAAGATTTGTAAAATAATTTTTGCGGAATATTAACAAAAACTAACTTGTATTTTGTGGTTTTATTTAGAAGTACTCTAATTAAAATATGTTCCCTGTAAATATTATATTTTTGTGTCACTTTATAATAAAGTTATAGGCCTTAAAAAAATCAAAATGAGGGTCACGAAATGTGGAGGAAAATGCCATAGTAAAAAAGTGCCTTTGAGGTCCCTACTAAAAAATTCATAACTTTTGAACCACTTGAGCTAGAAAGTTTATCTTGGTGTTTTTGTAATCTATTCTCCAGGCTCTATACAGCTGTAGTATTTTTATATTTTAAAAAATGTTTTGAAATTTTAATCAAAGTGCCTATTAAAGGTCCTCCGCTACTGTAGTGGCCAAAATTGAACAATATTGCCTAGAATTGCGTTG